TTTTTTCTTTCAAAAGGGATTCACATTTAGCTTTGGTCCTTATATATGGTTTTGTAACTCTTTTGGTCATGTTACGTTATTTGGTCGAGTACATCTTTTTTTCTGTAATTTTCGTTACAAAAGTATAAAGTGTGTTTGGTTGTGGAAAACTTTCTAATTTTATATGAAAATTTTCAAATGAAATGAAAATTTTAAAAACACATTTGTTTGATTCAATTGTCAAAGTTTTTCAAGAAAATAAAATTTTTGTTTTTTCCAAATTGTAGGTAAGATAGAATAATGATATTTATAGTTTTCTAAAATTTTTATAAATTTCTAAGATAAAAAATAAAAACTTCCGTTCCAACCAAACGTATTTTCTAAAATTTTCATTGAAAATTGAAAATAAAAATTGAATTCTATTTTCTGAAAACGTTTTCTAAAAAAAATAAAAAAATAATTTTTACAACCAAATACACCCAGAATAATTTTACTTGGAACATTGACAAAAAAAAAATTTCCAAAAATTTCAAATAAAGACCAAAACTAGAAAAATTAAACATTTTGGATCCACAATCGAAGAAATCGCCTATAAGCAAGAAGCAAAAATATGCTTTCCTAAATAAACAAATAATACATTTTAATTAAAAAAGAATATGAACAGTTTGGGCTAGTTAACGGATCCATATATTAAACATAGATGCCTAGTTAATATAATCACGATCACATCTAGTTTATTGATCATCGTTATTAGGATTACGATTGGCCACAACTCTTTTTTTTTTTTTTTTTTTTTTTTTTTTAGACAGCAAAATTTTAATAAAAAACCACAGTCTATACAGAAACAAGACGGGACAAAGAAAAACAAAAAAACATAATACAAACAAAAACGATTACATGATATCAAATGGAAAACAAACCCAAACCATCAATTTACAATTCTCGTAATTACCACTATGTTTGATCCAACCAAACACCATAGCGAGCATACTATCCGCAAACATAGAAAGAGTAGTACTCAGATTATTAAAAATGATGTCATTTCTTGCATTCCAAATACACAATAAGAAACCATATAGGATGACCAACATTTTTTTTTTTTTTTTTTTGACGATTTCCTAAAAGTTATAGCAAAATGCACAAACCCTAAACTGAAATTTTTTAAAAGGCTCCTCTAAGCACAAGCCCCCTCTTAAGCACAAGCCCCCAACTTAATTTCTGTAAGGCTCCTCTAAGCACAACTTACTAAAGTTGTCTTTGTGGTTTGTTCCCCCCACCCCACCCACCTATATATATATATATATATATATATATATATATATATATATATATATATATATATATATATATATATAT